CAAAATAAAATAAAAAAATGCATTCCAATACCTCGGTTGAGATGATGTAGATGTCTACGTAGAATTTGTCTTGCAAAAAAGACGACCAATCACTATTAAAGGAAGTTGTAGTGAATATTGATTCAAACACACAAGTTAAGAATTTGTGCCAAAAAAGATGTCTTTCATATGCTATAATTTTATTAATGAACGGTCTATTTATTTTTATATAAAACATTGTAATTTGCTACAAATGCTTAGTCTTATAACTTGATAATTATTTACTATAAATACCAAATTTATATAATATTAAATACACAAATAATCATTAACTAGAAATTATTAATGTTAATTTTTACCATGGTAATTTTTAAATACCACGCAACGCGTGGACAATCATTAGTAATATAACATATTTTTTAAGCAACTGGAGAAGTTTTAAACCACTAACTAACACAAGAGAGCCAAACATCAATAATGACCACGAAACTACCATTACTTAGCTCAAACATCAAACTTTAACAGCTAGACATTTCATAATGCAATATTTTCCATCAAGCACAAGATCATACCACTCGACATGTCCCCAAATATCTCCTTCACGCTGTTCTATCGCAATCTCTGCACACCAAATTTCTAAGCCTACTAATTTCTGCAAAAACACAACCAATTTTCCACCGTAACTTGCTGTGTACGACCAGGAACCGTCATCAAATAGTCCTAATGCCACACCCTTCACCACTCCCCAAGCCCTGTCCTTTGGATCATACGTTCTTAAACAATTCTTGCTAACATCATAGCAGTACAAAACATCGTCTAAAACGCATGCATTAGACCACTCCTTAGAATGCAAGATCTCATATGTTTCCCATTTACCTTCATTTGGTTCATAAACATAGCTTTTGTTATAACCCCTCATGTAAATATTACCAGCCATCTCCACACTACTAAACCACTTTTGACCCACCTCCCAATCCGACTCTCTCTTTCTAACCTCCCACTTTTGTGCTTTGGTATCAAACACCATGATCCTATTAGATGATGATTTCAGCTCCCGCGAACGTGTATCGGACCCTCCAATCACATATATCTTCCCATCAATGAGTTGGGAGACCGAACCAGCCACAGCCTTTGGCATTCTAGCCAGAGGCTTCACCGTGTGAGACCGACAATCGATGCTTAAAACACTCGATGTTATCACACCCCAATAACAAAATCCACCCATCACAAGTATACTCGAACCTACGACCACATAGCTTCCATGTAAAGGCATAGGGGGGAGTGAAGTGATAGGGACTAACCAAAGACTGTTGTTTGGGTTCCGGCCAAGAGTGTACCAACGGATACTAGAGGTTTGGTTTTGAGAAATGGCAACGTAGAGACAGTACTCGTCACGGCCTAGAAGAGACCGTCTCACGTAGAGCTCAGGCGATGTAACGAGAGACCCTAAGTGCTTAGAAACTAAGGAGAGAATGGGATGGTAAGATCTTGGTACACGCGTTAAGCACTCCAAGATGATTTCTTCTGGAAGTGACGTCATCAATGATTGCTCATTATTCTCATCCGCCGAATCTTTGGAAGACATCTCTCGTTTATGGAGGATAAACACTCGTGATCTCAATTTTATAATCCCTTGGCAAAGGTGAAATGCATGTTTTTTTTTTCCTAAATAAATAGACTTAATACAAAATCCGAAGAGATATTAAGATTATGGAAAAAATCGTATATGTATTGAAAGAACCGAATCAAATAATAAAATATACTCATTTGAAAAAGTCAAGAAAATCTAAGACGTTTAATTTTGTTAATACTATTTTTTAATTGAAGATCATAAATGTATCATTTGAGATCTTAAATTTAAAGTTGTTAGGTAAATATTTTCACCAAATTTAACTAATTTCAATAACAGATATCACTATACAATTATAGGAAAAGTACAAATTTGACAATTCTTAAGTCTGAATCAAAGATACTTTTTCTCTACATAAATAAATCTCTTTTTTTGTCACACTCTACGTAAATAAATCATAGTAACCAAAGTACAATAATTTATCCTAGAGGTTTGGTACGAAGAAACCCAACGTATTTGATAAATAAGAATGAATACGTGGATTAAGATAGAAAATTTATCCGTGGT